GCGAACACCCCTATAAATTACAGGAGCTCAGTATCGGGCCCGATCGGTATCGGTGCATCCCTAATTAAAATGCAAGCACTGTTAATGCAATGCATTATTTTTTCAGTTAGTGCTATTCAACATGCTTTTTTGTTTCAAAGACATATGGCATTATTTTTCTTCCATACACAGAAAGCTGGACAATTCCGTCAATGGCAGTGAAGCTTTGTTTCACAAAATAGGTTAGTGGCAGGGAAAGGGTTAGGTGATAAAAGGAATATGAAGAAAACTAGTGATTACTATGGGTTGTATATAACATACTTCTATATCTTTATAATTGTACCACAGTAAACACACTTTTGTATATGTTTTCACACTTATGTTTTCATGTTTTATGGAAGCAAGATGTGAATGTGTCAAATTTTATAATATACTGCTTAACAAAAACAAATTAAGCTTTTAAGTGATCTATATATTTCACTTTTATACTAGTTATTTGAGTTAAGTTAAATTTTTTCAGTTGTGTTTACTTTTACTTTAGTGCAGTTAACAAATGCTCTTCTTTCATTTTATTTTTAGTTACAAAACTGGTAATCTCACATTCCTCCAACGTCTGGAGGAGATTAAAAAAATCTATAATATTCCCATAATCAGCCAATGTGCAACATTAATCTAATTGCTGTGCCATTTGATGTAGCTGTTGGTGAAATGTACTTACTTGAGTATCTTCAGCTCACACACAGGATTCTTCAGTCCCTCACAGATCTCTTTGACTCCTGAGTCCAGCAGACGGCTGTTGTTCAGGTTCATCTCTTTCAGGATGGTTTTGGAGGAAAGAACAGTAGCTAGAACTGAACAGCTTTCCTCTGTCAGCCTACAATTATTCAACCTGAACAGAATAAAACAGCATTAGTTATTATTCAGCATATATTTAACACACATCAGATCAACAGCTCTTTATATCTGATCACACATGTGACTGACAGTCTTTTATAATGATAAACAAGAGTTTTAAATGTATAACATCACTCACTTAATTTTCTCCAGTTTGCTATGAGAGTCCATAAAAAGAGCAGAGAGTTTCTCCCCATCCAGGTCTCCTAATTTAACTTCACTCAGATCCAGTTCTTTCAGTAATAATGGACTTTTACCCAGAACTTTAGTGAGATAATCACACGCTTCCTCTGCAGCAGGACTTTTCAGAAACCTGCAGGATGTAGAAGAGAATTAAGAATTTAGGTTTTTGGACAAGAGGCATTATGTTTCCACTCCTCGAGAGTTTTGGGGGTGGCTGCTGTAAAAGCTTAGTCAGAGGGTGTTTAGCCAATTTGGAAAAAGAAATTCAGATACTTTAAGAAACCATGAAAACTGTGTACAGGACAGGTTGTGTTAGTCATTAGTGGACCATATAGCTAAGATGCTAATCGTGCTCCACATGCAGCCGCTAGAGGGCACAATCCATGCATGAAATAAATGTATTTAAAAATAGTATTTAGTATACTGTTCAGTAACTTTTTAGGGTCAATTTGCTATTCACGTGGAACATATTTTAAAAATTACAGAAGAATCACACATCTGTTCTGTTAATACAATGTAATATAATGCTCCTAATCTTGCATATTGTATGTGATGTGATTAAAAAAAATAATCAAAAGAAGACATGACTTCTCAACTTTACTTGTTTTTTACATATCCGACCGAACTACAAACTGTCCAGTGATGTCTGTGAGAAAGGTATATTCACTCGACAAGCTCGTGCATCTGCGCCGCCGCACGCTCAATCCACTCAGTGTGCTTTGTTTATCAGCTCACGCACATCAGCTATACAGGCGTTAATACTGAATGTTTAACGTTATATTCATTGCATACATATACTTCGTAGTAGACATCCTTAACTTCATTCTGCTGTCTGTTGTTTTGTTGTTGGTGTTTCTTTGTCTGAATATGGTGCTCATCACATGCTGTGTGGTATCGGCGTTTGGTATCGGGGCATTTTAACGAATACGAGTACGAGTACAGGAGCTCAGTATCGGGCCCGATCGGTATCGGTGCATCCCTAATTAAAATGCAAGCACTGTTAATGCAATGCATTATTTTTTCAGTTAGTGCTATTCAACATGCTTTTTTGTTTCAAAGACATATGGCATTATTTTTCTTCCATACACAGAAAGCTGGACAATTCCGTCAATGGCAGTGAAGCTTTGTTTCACAAAATAGGTTAGTGGCAGGGAAAGGGTTAGGTGATGAAAGGAATATGAAGAAAACAAGTGATTACTATGGGTTGTATATAACATACTTCTATATCTTTATAATTGTACCACAGTAAACACACTTTTGTATATGTTTTCACACTTATGTTTTCATGTTTTATGGAAGCAAGATGTGAATATGTCAAATTTTATAATATACTGCTTAACAAAAACAAATTAAGCTTTTAAGTGATCTATATATTTCACTTTTATACTAGTTATTTGAGTTAAGTTAAATTTTTTCAGTTGTGTTTACTTTTACTTTAGTGCAGTTAACAAATGCTCTTCTTTCATTTTATTTTTAGTTACAAAACTGGTAATCTCACATTCCTCCAACGTCTGGAGGAGATTAAAAAAATCTATAATATTCCCATAATCAGCCAATGTGCAACATTAATCTAATTGCTGTGCCATTTGATGTAGCTGTTGGTGAAATGTACTTACTTGAGTATCTTCAGCTCACACACAGGATTCTTCAGTCCCTCACAGATCTCTTTGACTCCTGAGTCCAGCAGACGGCTGTTGTTCAGGTTCATCTCTTTCAGGATGGTTTTGGAGGAAAGAACAGTAGCTAGAACTGAACAGCTTTCCTCTGTCAGCCTACAATTATTCAGCCTGAACAGAATAAAACAGCATTAGTTAATATTCAGCAGATATTTAACACGCATCAGATCAACAGCTCTTCATATCTGCTCGCACATGTGACTGGCAGTCTTTTATAATGATAAACAAGAGTTTTAAATGTATAACATCACTCACTTAATTTTCTCCAGTTTGCTATGAGAGTCCATAAAAAGAGCAGAGAGCTTCTCTCCATCTAGATCTCCTAATTTAACTTCACTCAGATTCAGTTCTTTCAGTACTAATGGACTTGTACCTAGAACTTCAGTGAGATAATCACATGCTTCCTGTGCAGCAGGACTTTTCAGAAACCTACAGGAAGTAGATGAGAATTTTAGATCATTTATGGTTTTTGCATTATTTTTGCCATAAAATATGTTGACTGTTGAATTTCTTAGAAATTGCAATTTAATTCAGTTCACGTCATTCCTATTCCACACTGGTCCATTTGTCTGCTCTATCTGTTGATTTACAGCTGATTTCACATCTGTGGTTCAGTTTTAAATATTTCAAGGTTTATTACCTGATGGTCTTTAATTTACAGGAATCATCCAGTAGTAAATCATTGAGCTCCTTCACTCCTGATGGTCCAGGATCATTTCCTCTGAGATCCAGCTCTATCACGTGTGAAGGGTTTGATCTCAGAGCTGAAGCCAGAGCTTTATAACCTTCTTCAGTGATACTGCAGCCTGAAAGTCTAAAAAAATATGTTATTCTTGCTTATAAGACTAGTTATACTACAAATACACAAAAAAAAAATTCTCAGATGAATCGCATTGTTTGGAATCTCTGTGGTTTCCAGAGTTTTTTTATGTCAAGCAGCCAGGTAGATGACTAGTTAAAATTCTAGGCAACTATTGTAAAAACTAGATGCAGCCACTGCAGCAAACTCAGTATGCAAACAAGATATATACATTCAGTGATGTAACCATGCAAAGACAAATGACACCAAATTGGCATTTACTGTGAAATTCAACCTGACAGCTCAATTTATAAATCATTATTAGAAGACTACTGTTGTGGATCAATGTAAGACAAGCAGTTAATGTACTTGCTAACATATTTACATACTTGCTCAATAACTTTTGTCATTACTTAAAATGTACCTTTACAAATAAATATTTCCATGTGTATTTTCAGTTATCTACATTTCTACACTTTTTTCCACTCTGCATTGTGAATTTTCCAACAGAAAACAGATCTTCTCTATTCCTGTCCTGTCCTATCTACAATTTCTATACCTTCCCTATATTTATGAGTTTCCTAGTTTATTCAGTCTCAATCTTAGTACCACTGCAGTCAAATACTCACATCAGTGTGTTAAGTATACAATGTTTATCCTGCAGTAGTGGAACAAGCGGTTTCAAGTCTCCTAGTTCACGCCCACTCAGATTCAGCTCTCTCAGGAATAATGGGTTTTTACCCACAATTCCAGTCACATACTGACAGGCTTCACCTGCAGCAGGACCCAAAAACCTGCAGAAGGGCAGATCAAGTGGGATTCAATATAGATCAAGTGAGATTCAATATAGTTCTTAACCAAACTTGGTGATTCTCAAACTATGTTAAAGGATTTTTCTTGAATTTACTTTAATGCAACAGTGAAATAATATTTCCATAAAAAATTCAACTGCATATAACTTATTTTGAATTGTCTTACCTCAGTGTCTTCAGTGAATAGTTTGGATCCTGTAGTAAATCATCGAGCTGCTTCACTCCTGATTGTCCAGGATCATTTCCTGTGAGATCCAGCTCTATCAGGTGTGAAGGGTTTGATCTCAGAGCTGAAGCCAGAGCTTTATAACCTTCTTCAGTGATACTGCAGCCTGAAAGTCTAGAATAGGAATGAAACAGTCTGATTATTCTAGAAATTACCTCTACATTATTTGAGCATAAAGTGAATTATATTTTGTTCCTTGTACAGTAATTTGCAAAGCAAACTGACAACTGAATACAAAAGGATCAGTAACCTTTAATCTTTTAAACATCAACACACATGAGAATCAGTAATATCTGGACTGTAAACATCCAGTTTACAGTCATTTACAAGGGTTAATTTATCTAAAACTCTACATGGGGGAAAGTCTTTCACCTGAATGATCCAAAACATACAAGTGACCACAAAATGGCGAAAAACAAGAAAATGAAAGTTTAGCTGCTGGTCTGGTGGTGATCCAGATGAGAGCAGAAGGAAGCAGATTTCCCTTGATGAGGTTAGTTAGGAGAACATCCAGAGAGGCTGGGGATGATACATCAGACCATGTTTCATTACCATCAAAGTTCAGAGGAAGACGACATTCATCCAATCCATCAAGAATGAACAGGACTTTGAATTGATTCCTTCTTTTAAGATTCAGTGTTTTTGTTTCTGGGAAAAACTGACTTATAATACTTGTCAAGCTTTGTGTTCCTTTCTCCTTTAAGTTCAACTCTCTAAATGGAAGAGGAAATATGAAGCTGATATCTTGATTTTCTTTTCCTTCAGTCCAATCCAGAACAATCTTTTGCACAGAGACTGATTTTCCGATGCCAGCAACTCCTTTTGTTAGTACAGTTCTGACCTGCTTGTCTTGTTCAGATGCTTTAAACATCTTTGTGCATTCAACCTGTATCTCTTGTGATTCTTGATGCCTGGAAGTAACTTCAATCTGTCTTACCTCATGTTCAATATTAACGTGTTCACTACCACCCTGAGTGATATAGAGATCGGTGTAGATGTTATTCAGAAGTGTGGAGTCACCTTGCTTTGTAATTCCTTCAAACACACATTGATACTTCTTCTTTAGGTTACATTTTAGTTGATGAATGAAGAGCAGCTCATCTAAACACCAGAAGAAAAATACATATATTTGTATCAGAATTCTCTCTCCTACGTTTATAAGAGGCAATATGACAGATGTTCATGAGTCTCTTACCTTCTAGAGTATCAGCAGCTTCATCTTGCTTCATATTTCTTAAGAAGTAGAGTGTGAGATCGAGAGCTATTTCCTTGATACTGCATCTATTCTCATTAAAGTCCTCCACAAAGTATTGCATATTCTCTTTTTGTAATATTTTCTTAAACTTCTCCAGCTCATCTTTCAGAAATTGGATTATTTTGCTCTCAAGATCCTACATAGCAAGAAAAAGGAGAAGCGATCAATCAGTGGAGACAGCATAAGTGCTGGAGAGCGCAAAAGTGTTTGCTTAATAGCTCGTTTCTTTTTTAAGGTTGTTTAGAATATTTGTTGCTAGGAAGGATTAATTCATTTACTGCTTATTTCTATTTTGTACTCTCATTATAATTTGTATTTTGGCAGGAATTATTTGTAATTAGAATAACAGCCGTTGGCTAAAAAGAAGTTACTTGTTATTTGTATTGTTCATTACTGCATTTAAATGGTGAACTGTCCAGCAAGAGTTTCGATTTCAGTCCACTTTCTTTCCACCCTCACTTTTCCCACATTTAACAGGTGCTTCAAGTACATTATTGTTGTCACTCAACAACGCTCTAACATCACATGCAGAAGACAATCCAAACCTGCAAACCTGCGTCCTTATCTGCACCTCTGTGCTGATTTCATTCTGGCCTTTGCTGCTAAAGCCGGGCTCACACTACAGGAGTTTTAAAATCCTAACCGATTATGAAATCTGGTTGCAGCACACACATAAGGAGAATCTTTGCAGATTATCTTCTCCCAAATCTTAAATATGCACACACTACAAGATTTGAACATCATGGCGCAACACACACTACAAGATATTATTAAGATTATCATGCCAGAGGGAGCGCCTCACGTGATCGCCTCGTGACCAGGGGCGTGTCTACGTGGTGGCCAGGGGTGGCACCGGCCCCCCCTGAAATCTGGCTGGCCACTGCAGGTGCCCCCCCCCCCTACCAGATATCTTGCGATAGGCTTGTTTTTAATACATTTCTAACTGCATCTGGCACTGGCGGATCCTGTGTAGGCAGCTGCCTAGGGCCGCTTTCTTCTCTTCTTTATACTTAATTTTAAGCGGTTTCTATAGCGTGATCTTAATGACAAATATGACTATCACCGCTAATGACTTCCTGTTTGTTGCTGCCGTGTGGTTTGAGTTTGAGCTCC